CATACACTGTTTCGTATGTACACTTTAAGGCACCTATTAAACTTAAATCGTATTTATACCTAATTCAGTTGTAGTCGTAATTCAATCGTAATTATACCTAAATCAGTCGTAGGCGTTTTCGACTGATTTAGGTATAAGCGCGGCAAAGTCTAAATTTAAAAACTGACTTGAAAAGGGATGGGAAAAGTAAAATATACACACCACCGACTGACTTTGATAGGGTTAAACCTGTACATAGATTGATAGATTGACAGAGGGTTTTGGTTTGGGCAGGCAGTATATAATTAACAAAAAAAGTCTTCATTTTTTTAATACTGGCGTAAAAAAAGTTATAAAAGTAAATTAAATAAATAAATACATAATTTAAATTGTTTTTCTAACAACAAAACTAAGAAACTAACCAAATCACTGTACTTAATACATTCAAATTATTTCTTTACACGCGCTGCCGGCAATTAATCTCAAAATTACCGCTAACCTATATATATATATATATATATATATATATATATATATATATATATATATATATATATATATATATATATATATATATATATATATATATATATATATATATATATATATATATATATATATATATATATACATATATATATATATATATATATATATATATATATATATATATATATATATATATATATATATATATATATATATATATATATTGTATGTATTTAGGTGCTCCCAGAAGTCCATACGTTTTTATCATAGAGCACCGCGGGAGAGCATTTAACAGGAAGTTCACGCCTCCTTCCGTACCAATGTCACTTGTGGGGCTAGAGCTGGCGTCGAACCTCGGACCTCTGGGTTCTGAGCCAGAACTCTAACCACTGCGCAACGGCTGCTCCGAGATGTAAGACAATCGCTATAAGATATAAGACAATCGCTAAAAATTATACTATAATAATATTATGGTATAACTATTTAGCATTTGAAAATTTATGTGTACAATATTAATAATATTGTACATATAAATTTTCAAATAAAAAATAGTTATTAAACAATATACAAAATACGCATAAATTCATATTAGCTTACGGAGACATAAAACCTTATGAAATGTTTTTAAAATGTTACTGAAATATTAGCAAGTCGATATAAGAATTTGAAGTACATATTTCAAAACTACAAGGTTAAATTAATATGTTTTTTATTTAAAACAGACCAATTCCATCCAGGGCCGGCGCGAGTAGGGGGTACGTGGGGGTACGTGGGGGAGGGGGGTGCCATTACAACTTTTGCCGACTAAAAAAAAAAAAAAGGTCCTCGTTTTCCAAAATTTGCCGACTGTCATGACGACATTTACCGACTGTCTAACCTATATCGAAAGGATCGACATTTGCCGACTAACTAGTCTAAAACGGTCCAATTTGCCCAATTTACCGACTAAGGGTCCAGTTTGCCAAATAAAAATCATTGATGGGGGAAGGGGGTGTCACACACCCCCACACTCCCCTATCGCGACGGCCTTGATTCCCTCCTCCATTAAATATTTTGGTGCTTCTGAAAATCGGCCAGAATAAGGACGCGGCCGTATTTAGACCGCTTTACCCTAGAGTGCTTATATCACGAAACTACCGTGTGCCGAATTAGATATCCCACAGTTTTCTAAAGAAGTCCATGCAATCGAAGTTATCAATTAAATGTCTATAACTTTTTGTCAAACTATCAAATTTATATAAAATTTCCGCAATTGTTTTATTAATTTTAAGCTTTTTTTAACTATATATATAAATATATGTATAAATATATATATATATATATATATATATATATATATATATATATATATATATATATATATATATATATATATATATATATATATATATATATATATATATATATATATATTTATGGATGATATTAAATTTAATGAAGAAAATATTAAGAGTTTTCAACGAGATGACACAAAAAAATCCACTCTAGTTTAATATAATGCATTTTTAATCCAAAGTGTCATAAATATCGAAACATCAATTCAAGGTGATATGAGTTATCATGCTATGGATAATATATCACTAAATGATAATATTCCTTGTTTTTGTGAATTTACTCCTTTAACTATGCAAGACTTAAATGTTATAGTAAAACAATTACAAAACAAGAATTCAATGTGTGAGTTCTCAAATGTTATTATATTCAAAAAATTATACTCATCATTTTTAAGTATTTTATTAAAAATTATTAATTTATCATCAAAAACTGTGAAAGTTCCTTCTAAATGAAAAAAATCAACAATTATTCCAAAGTTAATGTCGCCAAAGTTACCATAAGTAATTAGGACCAATTAATATAAAATATGATCCTACTTATAAAAAATATACAATATTTATAATAACATCTTTGAAAACGGATAAAAAAATTTCATAAAATAATATACAATATTAATATGATCTTACTTATGAAAAAATATTAGAAATTGTTGTTCACTAGCAGTTGTCAAGTTATTTTAAAAGTAATAATATTTTTTATAATAATCAATTTGGTTTCAGAAAAAAAAAATCAAATGAATCAGCTATTCAACCACATTCTAAATGAAGAATATCTTTGAATAATAATAAATTTGTTATAACAATAATGCTAGATCTTAGAAGGGCATTTGAAACAGTCAATAGAAAGATTCTTATACAAAAGTTAAAAGGTTATAAAGTTAAAGGTACAGTTCTCAATTGGATTGCAGACTATCTTTCAATGAGAATTCAAGGAGTCATAATAAAAGGTTAAGAATCTAGTGAACTGGTTTGTGATATAGGGGTTCCACAGGATAGTGTACTTGGATCTCTTTATTTATTATTTACATGAATAATATTGCATCAAAAATTGAGTATTCTTTTGTAACTTTGTTTGCTGATGAATCATTGGTTTGTATTGAGGGTACAAACTAAGAAGAAGTTATTTTTAAATTTAATCAAGACTTGAAAATACTTTTTAAATGGCTAAGTAATAACAAACTTAAATTAAATATTCTTAAGTCCATGGCAGTTCTTATTGTTAATTCAAAAAAAAGAAAAAATAGTTTTATAAATCATGACAATAACATTAAAGTGATGTTGGATGATATAGTCATTGAGTTTGGTGATAATGTGAAATATCTAGGGGTTATCATTGATTACCAACTTAATTTTACAGAACATCAAATATATCTCAAATAAAATTGCAAAGAAAACTGGATATCTTGGTAGAATAAGCTAATATTTTACTCAATGGACCAAAAAAATAATCTTTTAAACTATAATTGCTCCCCACTATTAATACTGTGCTTCTAATTTTCTTGATGTCAACACAAATAACTTAAATATCCAGAAAAACTTCAAAACAAAGGATTGAAAATTATATTAAAATGTGACTGGTCAACTCATAAAACAGAAATGTTGAAATATCTTGGTTGGATCAGTGTAAAATATAGAATAATTTTTAAATCACTCTGTTTCATTGACAATGTTACATCAACTTAAAATGATATATTTTAACCATTCTATTCAAAACACAGCGAGTTACATCAATATTACACTAGACAAGCTAGTTATTTTCATAAAAGCAACCAATACAATAGAGCAGGGCAGAAGTCATTGTTTGTGTTTGGTTTGAAACTATACCAAGAAATTGATTTTGGATTTGTTCAGTTGGACTACGAAAAATTCCAAAAAAAACTGCTTCAAACACTAAACTATAATCCACTTAAAAAGTGAACATTTATTTTGTAAAAGTTACTAAACTTGCATTAAGTTGCTAAACTAATGAATTTATGTGTGTGTGTGTGTGTATATATATATATATATATATATATATATATATATATATATATATATATATATATATATATATATATATATATATATATATATATATATATTCCATATTCCATTCCTCGAAAACTACTTTTTCAGGAATATATATAGAACAAGAAAAATAAAAGGAACAATAGTGAAACAAATTGTTGCTGCCACAGCCTAAACTCTTAGTCTATGTAACTGCACATCTTTCACATGACCCCTATTTAGTCTGTTGATAAATGTACTGGAGCCCCTGTAGCAGGCCATTTCAGTGTAAAATTAGACTGCTTATCTAAACAGGCAATAGTTTGGTTCTGAAACAACCAGAATGTAAATTATATTAGTATTTTTTACAAACAGCCTGCTCAATGTTCTTCAAGAACAAAGCAATAATAAATAGACTTTACTGGTTCTTTATTTTTTTAACAGTTTTTTTTTTTTTTTAACTGTCTTTCTATTTGTAAGCTTATGAGTAAGAATGTGTAAATATCAAAAAGTTCAAATTATAGGGAAAAATATTTCACAGAAAATTTAAAATTATTAAAAATAATTTTATAGAAAATTTAGTATTTTACAACCAGGAAATTACATTAGCTACATTATTTTTTCAAAAAAATTATTTTTGGAAAGAATTCTTTATAATTAGAATAATTTTAGTTTGACCAGATACAGCATTTATCAAGGTTATTTTCTGAAGAAAAAATTGCATTAATGAATAATATATTTTTATTATTCATTCATAGGACTATCAATAAATCTTTTGTTTGAAATTACAATTTTCAGAATTTTTTTAAAGATATTAAAAAAAAATTACATGAAATTGTAATTGCAAAAAAAAATTGATTACCCTATAAATGGAAAATGCTTATCAAAAAAATAAAATAGAATATATTACAATAGAACAAATGTTCCATTGAATGATAGTGTTTTCAAAGATCTTATTTAAAATAGTTTCTTAAATGAATTTAAAGAACTTTGACAACATTAAAATTACTGATATTATAAATAAGTGAACTTTTTAAAATCTGATCGCTTGTGTAAATGAAAATTTATCTAAATATTAGAAGAGTCAAAAATAGGACTGAGAAAATTGTATTATCATTAAAATATTTACAAGTTTTTTTTTATTAAGTTAACCAATACTAAAGAATGACTCTTACTTTGTTAAAAGTATATTTTGAATTTTCGTCTAGAAAAAAATTATTTATTTTTATAAAGTATTGTGTAATTTTAATATATTGTAGGTAAACAAGAGCATCTCTTATAGTTAGTTGATATGCCATTGGAACACGATGTATTAAATCTCAGTCGTCAACTTGAGAAGCTAGTTGCTGACGGTAATTCGGTAACTTGATTTTAAAATTAAACATTTTATTAATAATTGTTGTTGTTTTTAAAAAAATAAAAATTGTAGTTATTTTACCAACACAAGATATAATGCAAAGTAAAATTAAAGATAGTTTAAATGTTAATTTTTTTGTACAAGTTCATGATTTTTTACAGAAGAGAGTTCAGTACAAAAATTATAGTATTTACTACTTTTTCTCATGTAAAAAGTAGGGTGTATTCTCTATTTAAGCTAAGTTTTTCTTATAGACTCCATATGGAAAAAATAAGACTTTTTGTGCTTGAAATATAAAAGCTAAAATCTACTGAACTGTATTTAAAAAATGCAGGTTATTATTTTAAAATAATTTAAAAGCATTACTGATACTTTTAAATTGACTGAACTATCAACTTTTTTATTTATTATTATTTATGTTTTATATACAAATAAGTAGTCTTTATATCATTTATTTGAATTTTAAAAGGTTTATTACTACAATTTTGCTAGTTCTTTTCATCAACTTCTTTAAAAGAGTTTGTAATGGTTTTGTTTTTTCTTTTCAAGAAAACATCCCTTAGGTTTAGGAGGATTTTTTCTTTTCTTTTTTTTATTTTTTCATTTTTTTTATTCTTTCTTTTTACTCCTCTCTCGAATTTGAAATGTGAACTTTGACAAACCTTACTGCAGCACTGAGAAACATGAGTTTTACTTTTAGTGAAAGTAAAACTCACTCTTGTTTCTTTAATAGTAATAGTCAACTTTCTCTGATCACTGGAAGTACAACACTCGTTTTTCTCAACTGAGAAAGTTGAGTGTTGTATTTTCAGTTCAATACTGAACTGTGGTTGTTTAAACAGAGGTACAGCCTCTTGTTAAGAAACCATTTAACTGCTACACTTTTACTACATGTATTGCTTGAAACTAACTTTTGTGATGCTATGTATTTAAAAATTAAAAATGGTAAACATTATATTAATTTTATTAGTCTTTTTAATGTTTAGAACAATGAATCAGCCAGTGATCTTTTAAATCAACTAAAGAAACTTCCTATTACATTAGATATTTTGCAGGTATGATTTGCTGTTTTTTTCCAGTAATATTTTTTCCTTATAACTTTTTTATTTTATTATTTTTCTAATAGTTTATCTATAAAGTAGTTACCAACTCAGCCCTATCTAAACTTTTCTTTTTAAAAGTTTATTCAGTTTATGCAGTTTGCAGAATTTTCATCTACAGAAATACAAAATAATTAATGTGATACAATAGAGATACAAAATAAATAATTTGAAATAAAAAGCAATAATGATTCAGAAAATTCTTGCTCACAAATCATAGTAGAGGTGATAATATTAAATTGTATTTTACAAATAGTTTCAAGATTTATTTTATTATGTTTCATGGGTAATTATGTGTGAAAAAGTTTGATAATTACTAAATAAAATAAATATAAAGTATAAACATTTTCAAATGCATGTGCAAGTTTATCACTAGATTTTATGACAATTAAATAAATTTACTTCCATGAAGGTTGCACAACTATTTAAGTTGACTAGTAAACTGACGTTTGTGAAAAAAAAGTAGATGAATCAGTTTTTTAACCATGTAAAAACAATCTCTGTAACATGATGTGACAAAATGACAAGTTGTAAGCAATGTAGAAACAATCTCTGTAAAATGATGTGTCAAAATGACACGTCGTAAGCAATGTAGAAACAATCTCTGTAAAATGATGTGTCAAAATGACAAGTTGTAAGCAATGTAGAAACAATCTCTGTAAAATGATGTGACAAAATGACAAGTCGTAACCAATGTAGAAACAATCTCTGTAAAATGATGTGACAAAATGACACGTCATAAGCAATGTAGAAACAATCTCTGTAAAATGATGTGTCAAAATGACACGTCGTAAGCAATGTAGAAACAATCTCTGTAAAATGATGTGTCAAAATGACAAGTTGTAAGCAATGTAGAAACAATCTCTGTAAAATGATGTGACAAAATGACAAGTCGTAAGCAATGTAGAAACAATCTCTGTAAAATGATGTGTCAAAATGACAAGTCGTAAGCAATGTAGAAACAATCTCTGTAAAATGATGTGTCAAAATGACAAGTCGTAAGCAATGTAGAAACAATCTCTGTAAAATGATGTGTCAAAATGACAAGTCGTAAGCAATGTAGAAACAATCTCTGTAACATGATGTGACAAAATAACAAGTCGTAAGAGTGTATATTATAATATCAAGAGCAAAACGTTCATTTATAGAAAAGGAAAACATACACGCTATTGTGAGAATGAGAAAGGATTTAGTTTGGCTGCTAAAACAGGTTAAAATATGTTTATAATGCATTTTTGAACTATGTATTTAAAAAAATATGAGATCATTAAAAAAAAAACTCAGACATGACAAATTGTAAAAAAAAAGGTTAATATGGTTTAAAAAAGCACACTAAAAACATTAACAGTAACACCTCTAATGCACAGCATTGCACTTTCTATAAAAGCCATATCTCTGGCCTTTCCTTTACGAAGTGCTTCAAGAAATAAGTTTTATGTTGCTTTCTCCTAACTTTTGTTTAAAAAAACAAATTTTATATGATCATGCAAAAAATTTATTTAAATATTAATTTTAAAATTTTTCTTAGTCATAATCAATCATAATTTTGTTAAGCAAGTTATTTTATTTCTTTAAAAAATTGTCTTAAAATTTTTTTTTTTCCTTTTTTCTTTTTCATAATCTTCAATTCATTATTTGATTTTTAATTTTTGCTATGTTTACTATTTTAAATTGTTTTCCAATGTAAAAATGTTTGCAAAATTTACAAAATACTTTACTTCAGAAAACACGCATAGGAATGACTGTTAATGTACTTCGAAAAGCAAGTGACAGGGAGGATGTTCAAATTATTGCAAAATCACTTATAAAATCATGGAAAAAATTATTGGGTAAGTGATTATTATGAAACAAACAATGCTTTTTAAGAATTGTAAGGCTCTAGTTTTCAAAGTTTGTTAATAGCTTTTAGGTATTAAATATATATATATATATATATATATATATATATATATATAATATATATATATATATATATATATATATATATATATATATATATATATATATATATATATATATATATATATATATATATATATATATTAGGGTGGTCCATTTTAGCATGTAAATTTTTTTTTTGTTTAAATTAATGAGGTATGTTGACTTATTACTTCCTTTTGGTCTAAAAGTCAACTGAAAAGTTCAGGTTGAAAAAAATATATTTAGGGGTTGCTCAAGTATATCAAAGTCTTGAATATTTTATGGTTTTGCCAAAAAAGTTTTCAAAACTAGAGTTTTTGTGCGGGCTGTGGACTTTTTGTTGTATTTAATCATTGTGTTTCATTATCAATGTAGAAATATTGCAGAAAATTCTTATTCATTCAGTAGATGTCAGCACTATACTTAGTATACTTCTAGAATAATTATTACATACAATTTTAAACACCTTTATTTGGTAATATTATAATTATTAATTACTCAATTAACTTTTTGAATTAACATTTCTTCATTCATTTTAATAGAATTTGTTTGCATAATTTATTGCAGGTCAATTAATATAAAACAAAAAATGACTACAGCTGCAATAAATATACCAACACGAAAGCAACAGAAATATATTTGATTGGGCAACCGTTAGAGAATTTTGGTGAGCAATTCCTTCCAACAGAAAAAGATGTTCTAAAGTGTATGTTCTTCTTTGGAACCAACAGTCAAGAGAATCGCAAGAAAGTTATCGACGAAGTGCTCTTCTTGTGGACAAAGGCACGTATTCCAGTTATAAAGACCCGTGCAATCATTGACAAACTTGTTACAATTCTTGATAAGTATAAAAAACTTAGAAAAAATGAGGTAGAAAAACTGACCAGCAGAAAACCAGTGAGACAATATTGAAAGGCAAGCTTTCACAACTCTTTGATGTATCTCACAAGAATGCTAAGTCCATTATCACAATCAATGAAGACAAGGACTTCCTTATTGACCAGAGGACAGTCAAAAAGATGGCAATATCAAGAGAAGATAAGGAGCTGACAAAAAAAGAAAAGATGCAAGCACGAGAGAATCTGTTGAAAGTGCGAATAGAAAAAGAGAAGAAAAAAGAAAGGAAGCTCAAAGCTTAAAGGTGCAACTTTTTGACTCATCATCATCCTCTTTAGACTCTGAGTCATCTGAACATGGCTCTCGTCAAATTTTTAATCGGAGATCAAAGGGATTAACTCCTTCCAAGAAACAGAAAATGACTCCGAAGTTGGTTTGTGCATTGGACTGTAGCAACATTTCCGACCAGTATGCTATTCACATTTTGAATGCCTCAGCAGCAACACCTCTTAGCAACAGGTCAATCTCCAGGAGCTCAGTTTGATAGGTGCTAGGATAAATAGCAGGGCCATCACAGCAGCCACTGTTAGAAATTCCTTCATCAATCAAGTTCAACAGAAGGATACTTTTTTAGTATTACGCTAGATGGCAAGTTGCTCCCAGACTGTACAGGAAATGGAGAAGGTTTAAAGGTGGATCGTTTTTCCAATTCTTGTTTCAAGCCCAGATATTGAATTCAAGAAACTACTGGCAATACCAAAGTTATCATTGAGTACTGGAGTTGCCATGGCTAATGCAACTGTCAGGATTGTTCGAGAGTGGAAACTCAAAGAAAGAATCAAAGCTCTTTCCTTTGACACAACATCATCCAACACTGGGATCCATGCTGGTTGTTGCCAATTAATAGAGGTACAATTGGGTTGACCTCTGATACATCTTGCATGCAGACATCACATTATGATATTCAGCTATTCAAACGTTTTCGAGAACGATGGTCCTTCATCTCAAAAGATGAAATAAGTGCTTTCAAGGATTCGAGAGTAGATGAGCATAAAGATTGGAAAGATGCTACCATAACCTCCATGCAGTCTAGCTAGGCTCGAAAGAGTGATGATTATACCAAGCTGTCATTGTATTTTCTGACAAGAGAATTATGTGCTCCAATCCGGAAACCTGGTGCATACCATCACGTCAGGTGGATGGCCAAGGCTATCTATGTGATGAAAATCTTGTTGTTTTGGAAGCAAATGAAACTGACAAAAAGTGAGGAGACTGGTCTACATTAAGTGTCTCTCTTCATTATCTTGATTTACTCTGTCTGGAAAGAGGTTCATTATCTTGATTTACTCTGTCTGGATAGATAGAGTCTGGATAGAGGCTCCGCGAGCTTGTGAGACGGCCATCAATGATAAGGCTCTTCTAAATGATTTGGTCAGCTACAACAATGTGAACAAGAAGATTGTGAAAGCCACATTAACATCATTCCTAGGCCATCTATGGTATGACCTTGTCGGCTTTTCACTTTTTTCCAACAAGTTGACTACTGATGAAAAAGAGGATATTGTTAGAGAAATGAAGAAAAAGAAAAGAATATGGATCATATTAAGTGGGTTCCAAAAAAAGGAGAAGAAACAACGATGAACCTCAATGATCTTGCTTCTTCCATATCCTTGCGATTTTTAAAATCTTTTAGAATCAATGAAACCTTCTTGGAGTTACCTCCTGACTAATGGGATGTTGATGAAAGTTTTCAGGAAGGGCGCAGAAAGCTTGAGATACTGAAAATTATAAATGATGGTTCAGAGAGGGTCCTTGCAATGATTTCCACTTTCAATGATTCTTTGACAATGGACAAAGAGACAAAACAAGCACTACTAAAGTTGTAGAGCACCATCGTCGTCTCCACCCCCTCAATTGACTTTTCTGACATTAATGAACAATGTGAATGATTGTGTTCTAGTTTCTTCATATTTTTTGGATGTTTTGATGTTCAATAAATTTTCAGTGATTTTTAAATTTAAATTTGTCTTTAATTCATTTATTTGTTCCTGCATTTTTTTGATAATATGATTTATTTGATGTATAGCTTGAAACTTTGATAGCATTGAGCAACCTCTAAATACAGCCCAAACTATGTAATATTTTGTACAGTGGGTTTTTTGAACAAAATGAACATAAAAAATAACATTCCCCTGAATTATATTAAACTTGACTTTTTTGGACCACCCTAATATATATATATACATATATATATATATATATATATATATATATATATATATATATATATATATATATATATATATATATATATATATATATATATATATATATATATATATATATATATATATATATATAAATTATATAAATTTATATAAATTATATAAATTTATATATATATATATATATATATATATAAATTATATAAATTTATATAAATTATATAAATTTATATATATATATATATATATATATATATATATATATATATATATATATATATATATATATATAAATTTATATAAATTATATAAATTTATATATATATATATATATATATATATATATATATATATATATATATATATATATATATATATATATATATATATATATATATATATATATATATATATATATAGATACATTACATAGACTTCTGCTTAACCCCAGTGAAACATAAGTTATCTTATTTTGGATCTAGAAAACAAACTGGAAAATTTAAAATGATTCCAAAATTACGTTCTCCAAAACAATACTAAACTACAGTAAATTGTGTAAGAATCCTAGGTGTCACCTAGATACAACACTCTCCTTAGACTCGCATATAAACATAAGTATGAAATATTTATGTTAATAAAAGTTAAATTTAAAAAAAAACAAAGTTAAAAATAAAAAAAAAAATGAATAAGAAAAAACTAAAATAAAATAAAATTAAAAAAAAAAAGAAAAAAGGTAATAGTTTAATATTATATTTATATAGTTAAATCCTGCAACTTCTATATTTGTGCTCTTAACAACATTCATGACACATTTGGTCAAACAGCTGTTTTCATGGGCATTTGTTCATAACTTTTGAATGAAAAGTGCTATGGGATTGTTTAAAGACTGATTTAGGAAAAACTAAAATAATAATTTAACTGCAGCATATTTAGGTCATAATTTGGAAGAACAAAATATTTAAAATTTCAAAACATTGCTTTTTTATTGGTTATAATTAAAATACGTATAAATGTATATAAATATTTATGTATATTTTATAATGCAAAGATAACCTAAGTACAGTTATCTCAAAAACAATAAAAGTTATCAAAAGAAGTACTGAAATGCATAATTTAAACATATGTTAACATTTTAAAATATGTTTTGTCTTCAGATAAAATGTTATTAGAGACATTTTGTTTATGACTATATCTATCAGAATGTCTTCTTTCATTACAAAATTTGCAAAATGGTTCTGACTTGTATCTCTCTTCACAAATAGTTGGATCAGATGTCCAGTAATTGGATCAAATGTCCAAATAATTGGATCAGATACCCACATTTAGATTATGGTGTCTATTAAATTGACAATTTATGAGTTTTTTCTTGAGAGTCCAGTACATCGATCTTAATATTTTGTTATTACATTCTAACCCTGACTCATTAAGATATCCTAAACCTCTTTCCTTGTTATTCAAAATTAACTCCCAAGAATGACCAATTAGTTTGTGCAGTGGTGTTATACTGATCTATGTTCCAGATAAATTTATTTTTATAACAGGCAGAAACTCACTTACTAGGAGTAAAATCTGTACAATAGCTTTTATATTGATCCACAATTTTTTTCTTTTTGAGAAAAATTCTAGAAGAATTACTCAGAACATCAATCGGAACCTTTGAAATGTTGCATGATATTGAACAGGTAATTGTGCAATAATTAAATCCCTGTTTGTTTTTTTGTGCAATAGTTCTCAAGTTATATTACATAAGCATGAAGAACCTATAAATAAAATATCAGTAAATTTTAAAATGTAATAATTTTTAACTTGTATGTTCACATATTAGTAATACATAATAATATAAACAC